GATGTCCATCAACAGACAAATGGACAAAAAATTATGGTATATTCACACAATGGAATACTACAAAACAAAGAACAATGATGAATCCACAGAACATCTCACAACATGGATGAATCTGGAAGGCATTATGCTGAGTGAAATTAGCCAGCTGCAAAAGGACAGATATTGTATGAGACCACTATCATAAGAACACAAGAAAATGTTTAAACACAGAAGAAAACATTCTTTGATGATTTCGAGGGTGGGGAGGGAGGGAGAGAGGAATTCACTAAGTAGATAGTAGACAAAAATTATCTTCGGTGAATTGAAGGACAACACACAATACAGGGGAAGTCAGTACAACTGGACTAAACCAAAAGCTAAAAAGTTTCCTGAACACAACCAAACACTTTGAGGGACACAGTAGCAAGGGTGGGGGTCTGTGGACCATAGTTTCAGGGACATCTGGGTCAACTGCCTTAACAAAGTTTATTAAGAAAATGTTCTGCAACCCACTTTGGTGAGTGGCATCTGGGGTCTTAAAAGCTTGCGAGTGGCCATCTAAGATGCATCAATTGGTCTCAATCCACCTGGAGCAAAGGAGAATATCAGCCCAAGAGACAAAAAGGCCACATACACCAGAGACTCCATCAGCCTGAGACCAGAAGAACTAGATGGTACCCAGCTACCACCAATAACCACCCTGACAGGGAACACAACAGACAGTCCCTAGCAGAGCAGGAGAAAAGTGGGGTGCAGAACTCAAATTCACATGAAAAGATCAGACTTAATGGTCTGACTGAGACCAGAGGAACACCAGAAGACATAGGCCCTGGCCTCTGTTAACTCAGAACTAAAACCATTCCCAAAGCCAACTCTTCAGACAAAGATTAGACTGGACTACAAAAAACATAAAATAATACTCGTGAAGAGTTTGCTTCTTAGTTCAAGCACATACACAAGCCTAGATGGGCAGCTCCTGTCTGGAGGTGGGATGAGAAGGCAGAAGGGGATAGGAGCTGGTTGAATGGACACGGGAAACCCAGGGTGGAAAGGGGGAGTGTGCTGTCACATTATAGGGATGGCAACTAGGGTCACATAACGTAAATGTTTGTATGAGAAATTAACTTGAGCTGTAAACTTTCACCTAAAGCACAATAAATTTTTAAAAAGTTGTTAAGAATTTCAAGATGGTGACCAAAGACCATTAAATCAAGCGTGGGGCCCTTCTGAGCACAGGGCCCCGTGGGACTGAAGCCGACCCTCCTTTCAGACGATAAACACTCGATAGATGGTAGCTACTATCATCCCTATTACTTTCTCAGTTGATAACCCTGCCTCACCCTCCCTCCAGCTCTCTACTCCCCAGACAGCAACCAGTCATTGAAGGTCTTCATCCTTGAAACTGCCTAAATCCACTTAAGCTGGAAAGGTCCACTTCCATTCCAAAAACAGTTTCTCTGAAGCAACCTGCATTTACAAGGAAAAGAACTGACCAAATATTACCAGATCAGACCAGCTGGCTCCAATTCATGGCGATCCCACATCTGTCAGAGTAGAACTGTGCTCCACAGGGTTTTCAGTGGCTGATTTTTCAGAAGTAGATCACCAGGCCTTTCTTTCGAGTCACCTCTGGGTGAATGTGAAACCTCCAACCTTTTGGTTAGCAGCCGAGGGCATTAACCATTTACACACAAGGTAACGTTACCATAGGCTCATGCCAGACACACTCCCACCTTTGGGCCTCTGCTCTGGCTTTTCACCCGAGTTGACACCCTCACCTCTTTCAAGTCTCCGTTAAGATCCACTTTCTATGGGAGACTCATCTTGACCGCCCAATTCACCACTGTGTTTGGCCCTCCCTCCACCCTGTACTCTCCACCCCTCTTACCCTGTCCTACCTCTTCTTTTTCCATAGTACTTTCACTGTTGAATGTACTACATAATTTATTTCTTTAACGTGTTGTCTTAAATATCGAGTGCTGCTATAACAGGAACACAAGTAGGTGGCTTTAACAAACAGAGTTTTATTTTTCACAGCTTAGAAGACTAGAGGTCCAAATTCAGGGCACCACCTCTAGAGGAAGGCTTTCTCTCTGCCAGCTCTGGGGGAAGGTCTGTATTCCTTGACAATCTTCACGTGGCGTGGCATCTGTCTTCCCCACCTCTGCTTTTCTGGAGCTTGCTTAATCTGCTCTTTTATATCTTAAAAAGAGCTTGACTTAAAACACACTGTACACTAATCCTGCCTCATTAACATAACAAAGAAAACCCATTCCCAAATAGGATTATAACCACAGGTCTAGGGATTAGGATTTACATGTTTTTTCGGGGACACAATTCAATCCATACCATATGTCTATCATCTATTGTTTTCTCTTTCTTTACACACACACACTGGGATGTAAGCTTCTCAAGATCAGGAACGTGTGTCTGCCTTTGTTCATCTATGTATACAGTTCCTGGCACATAGGAGTTACTCAATAAATATTTACTGAAAGAACAAATAAATGACTGAATGTACGTGTAACCAGACCATCCCTTTCAACCTGGGGATTCGGCTGGAAGTCAGGCCTCCACATCACAGAGGGATAACAATAGCCACCAGCTCCTCAAGGGAAGCGCAACAGAGTTCACAGAACAGATGGGAAAGTTTTACCGATTTTCAAATCTCTGCCAAACCCCCTTTAGTTTAAAAGGAAGATAATGCAATTGTCTGTGCTAAATTCAGTACCTCTTTCAACACCCAATGGTGTACACCGTTTGTTACGATGACTTGCAGCAAAATGATGACTGGTATCTTATACGAATGAGCTGGTTGGAGCGAAGACATGTCCCCAAGGCGAGGGCATAAAAGTCGTTTTGGATTTTAAAAATAGAATTATAAGAAAATTAATCTCACACCACTGCTTCATCACAATGACACAGAAAAGCTGAGCCCTTAATATCAAAAGGGATGTAAGGTCTTCATCCTTGAAACTGTGCCTAAAGATGTCGGCTCCGGCCAATCCAAGCTGTTCTGCCCGGAGCCTCAGAGTCCCAGGTAGCAACCCACGGGCCCTCCTGTGACGGAGCGAATGTGAACCACAGCGCCCAGGCAAGGGATGGGGCTCAGGGCGGGATTCATCCACCAGCCCGAAAGCTGGGCAGGGCAGCTGTGGCACAGGGCATTTTCGCAAAGAACAGCGTTTGAGAACTAAAGAGAATAGCGCCCCTCCACAAATGGTTACTATGCAACCCGTGTCAGAAGAAATACCTGGAACACCGTCTCCTCATAACTTATCTGAGGGCCAGCGTGCTCCGAGTCCTCCACCGACAATAGGATGCACATCTGCCCCCCCACCCTCAACCCACGGGTAACCACAAGGGCTCCTCCCTGGGACCGCGCCGCACATCTGGCTCCTGCCCCTCCATGAACTACAACCACGCCCTCTCAGCCCTGCACTCGTCATTTTTCAAACCAGCCTGTTTGCAGGCACCACAAACGGCTGGGTGGGAATCAGCAGGGAGGCCCTCCCTCATCCCTTTTCCCAAAATAAAGTCAGCCAGAGGCAAAGGCCGCAGAGGTGGCGCCTGCAGGCCATTCTGCAAAAGTTTCAAATATCCTGGCACTGACCCCACCAACAGAGCTGTGTAGGGGAGGCAGGCAATCCTCTCTTTTTCTCATTAATGCTCTCCTTATTCCAAACTTCTGTGTGTACAAAAAAGAAGCAAAGGCATTGCCCAGGAAGGCCTATCACCAGTGTTGGCTGCTGGAAACAAAACTTCATGCTGCACTTCTTTTTTTTTTTATTATTTATACTATAGTACAGAGAAAGGCTGAATGTCATTTTATTTAACTAAATGTGTTTATTCATCTGTTTATTTAATGTTGGCATGCTGCACATTTAACAGCAAATAAGTTGTGCGTGCTCTGTGACAGCTTAATCAGCCAAAGGATCTCTGAGGCAGACGTCTGAACAACGAACGGGTGAGCAGTTCTGGTTTCCCATGCATTTCTGAAATACACAACTGCTTCACATTTTCCAGCCTTCTCTCTCGATCTTGCCTGGGTAGGGGGAGGAAGCTGATTTCGGGACTGAACTGTTAGTAAGGCCAAAGAAAGCAGCCTTCCTCCTAATACTGAGGCCTTTACAAAACACACACACACAGATGTATACTTTTTAAAATATAAAAGAGGAAAAGAAAGGAGAGGCAATGAACATCAATATGAGGGAGGTGGAAAGAACGTGCTACTTTCTTTTGTCCAGACTTTAAAACCGTCTCCTAGAAACAAAGAGAAAACTAGGGGGAGGTACATTATTCTCACCACCAGCGCCTCTGAGTTGTTTATACATGTTTTTGCACGTGAACAACAGGTGAATGTCTGCTGAAGGTGAAAAAGCTGATCCATCGGTAACCTTCGGCTCTTTAAGGGTACTGCAGTGTGTAGGAACAAGCAGTGGTTTCTAATCTCTGGGCCTTAAATTCCCTCAGGCAAGAAGTCTTTTTTTTTTTTTTTTTGAAACCCATATGCACATCTGTACTTTTATTAGCGTGTAGTAAAATATAAGTAGCCTCAGTGACGCAGTGATTAAAGTAGTGGTTAAGGCGCTCGGCTGCCAACGGAAAGGTCAGCAGGTCGAATCCGTGGGAGAAAGATGTGGCAGTCCGCTTCCATAAAGATTACAGCCTTGGTAACCCTATGGGGCAGATCTACTGTCCTACAGAGTCGCTTTGAGTCGGAATCCACTAGACCCGCAACGCTTAATAAAATGTAACTTTGTTATTGTTTAAACTCCCCACCACCATCACCTCCCCCCGCTTTCCGGTACTGTCAGGAATGCAACGATACTACAGATGTGGAAAAGCTCAGAAGTATAAATTTCTGGAGGCACGCACAGGATCGCTGCTACTATGTAAAGTCCCAAAGGGTCGGCGGCACACCTGTACCTGGCCAGTCCCCGCACCTGGGCATGCCCCCAGGCCCCTCCGTCCGGGTGCCCGTCCCCAGCTGTTCCCGTGAATAAGCCCCCGGTGCTCACCGTGGGGTACAGGAGCGCGTCGCAGTCGCCGGGCTCCGACAGCTCGCTCAGCTTGCGGTCCCACTGCAGGGCGCCCTGCTCCCCGCTCTCCAGCACCTCCATGCTGGCCGGGAGCGAATGGGTGGGAGCGCGTGGGCGTGTGCACGCGTGGGCGAGTGCGTGCGCGGCAGGCTCGTGCACGCGGAGAACCGTCTGCTCCTCGGCCCGGGGGACCCCAGGCCCGGCCGAGTCCTCTGAGACCAGAGCGTCCCTGGGAGTCGGGCAGTACAGCGTGGATGGACGGCTGCGGGGTCAAATCAGGGCGTGCATCCAAACCCAGCGCCGGAGACACGCTCTCATCCCGGGACACCCTCCCACGACCCACCCGTTCCCAACACAAACTTTGAGACGCCCCGCAGCCGTTCGCTCCGCTCCCCGACCCAGCCGCCGACCCCGCCTCCCTCCGGGCCAGCAACCATTCGGAGGCCCGCCTCACCCGCCTGGCCCAATCAGAAGTCTCGCTCTCCGTGCTGTCCCGCCCACAGACGCGGGGCCGCGGGAATTCTCCTCCCCGGCTTTGGAATGTGGGCGGAGCGCGCCTTTGTCGTCACCGGCGGACTCCTCCTTCCGGAGCGCCGTCCCGGCGGGCCGTCTGGGGCAGCAGACCAATGGCATGCATGGATCCAGGAGTGATGGACTGGGGGCACTGCCACTAAGGAAGGGGAGCCCGGGACGGGCAGCCAGTCATATAGCGACAAGACTACATTTAATAAAAGAGGGCGGGCGCGCTCCGTCCTCTGCCTGAGACGCCACAGAAGTCGGGTTGTGAGGCGTGGACGTTGCTGCACGTCTGAGCGACGGTCTGTGCAAAATCTTCTCAAGCAGCTTGGAGTTTGAGTCTTTCGAGATTTTTTAATTAATCCATATGTACACGAATATATAATATAATGTAATATTGCCGTTGCTCATAAGTTTGAATCTTTTGGGATTTTTTGATGAATATATATTTTAAAAAACCACACCCACTGCCTTCCTGGACTCATAGCGGCCCTGCAGGACAGAGTAGAACTACCCCATAGGGTTTCCAAGGCTGTAATCTTTACAAAAGTAGACTGCCACATCTTTCTCCCGCAGAGCGGCTTGTGGGTTCCAACCGCTGACCTTTCCTTCCGCTAGCAGCCAAGTGTTTTGACCACTCCGCCACCAGAGCAGATTAATATAACAATGTAATATATCATATTCCCTGTTGCTCATGAATTTAAATCTTTCTCGATTTTTGTTATGAGTACGTTGTCAGGTGAAAACCCAAGGTTTTGCTAGGCGTGAGTTGTCACAGCCACTAAACAAGAGGCCGAGGTGGAAGATGAGATATTTTTGTACAAGGAAATGAGCAATCAGGGCTCTTGCCTCCAAGACTGCTCTCAGGCAGATTTGGTAGCTGGGGTTTTAAAGAGAGCAGAGGAGGAAATGTAAATTCATCATGAATAGTCACCATTGACCTTCACACAGGCGCTCAGAGCTTGGGGATGACTATGCGATTTTTTTGGGCAAGGGTTCAATCCCCCAGGATGGAGGAAGAGGTTGATTTTCTTTCATTAGAATGTTAAGTCTCCACCCAGAAGTGGGTTGAGGCCATCTATGACCTGTTCTGCGGTTATTCTATCAAGGACAATTTAAGAAAAATGCACAGCTTATTCTGCTCAGTGTAGGAGGATAAGCCAGAGCAGGTGTGTCTTAGAAGGGTTGGGCTCTGAGGCTGTCTGCCTCATTCCCTCCTTTTCTTTGGGCATTGGTCATAAGTGACCAGTGCCCATTCTGAACGATTGGGCAATTGTGAACCGAGTCTGGCGTGTCTTACAAGGGGATAGGGCTTTTCCAGGGAACTTCTAAGTTAGCAGAGGAGGTGGGGAATGGATGGCAGATCCAACAATTGTTCGGATTGTCTACGCTGGAAATGGAGTTGGAAAGTTGGGTAAATCAGTTGTTTTCTTATTTAGCTTGGTCTACGAGAATCTCTTGGAGAAAGATAGCAACAATCATTACTATTCTTGTGGTGGCTAGAGGGCTGTCAGCCTCTTATCAATCTGACATGTTTAAACACAGCATAAAGAAACGGAAAGGCAGAGGGTGTATATAATACAATGAACAAGATACAAAGTTTGCTTGGGATTTGATCTATGCAGGAGGGTGTTTTGCAAACAAATACTTAGGTCTTTAATAGGTTTGTAAATCCAGTTCTCACAGGTCTGACGAGTTTGTCCCTTGATGTCTGGTGGAACAGTTTTCTTTACCTGGGGGCGGTGGATCTAAGCTTTGAGACCACTGAACTTGAAGGAGGTCAGAGTTGTTAGTAATACCTCAAAAGGAACGATCCACTTTTGCTGGAGAGGCTCCGACTTCCAGGCTTTTAGGAAGACCTAATCACCAGACTGGAGTGGATGCAGGGGCACTTCTGATTCAAGTGGAAGACAGTCGCCCAAAGAGACTGTGAGTATTTGGTAACTGGAACATTTTCAACTTCATGGAGGGAGGGAGGTTGGTCATTATTAAGGCAAGCTATGTTGGTCATACTGGGGTTCTATAATAAAGGGGGCCCATATAATAGCTCAGATGGGCTAAGTTAGAGTTTGCCTTTAGGGGGAGCTGAACTCTCAGGAGGTCCATAGGCAGTGCCATTGTCTATACCAACCTGGTCTCTTGGCACAGCTTTGCTAGGTGTCTGTTTAGAGTCTGTTTAGCCTGTTCTGCTTTACTGCTGGCGTGGGGTCTCCAGGCTGTGTGTAAGTTCCAGTTAATTCCTAGGGTGGTTGCCACTGATTGCACCACCAAGGCTACAAAATGGGGCCTGTTGTCACTGCCAATGGAGACAGGAAGCCCAAAACAAGGGAAGATTTATTCATGAGGTGCTTCACAACCTCAGTGGCCTTTTCAGTCCTGCAAGAAAAAGCTTCGACCCATTTAGTGAAGGTGTCGAAGAAAACTAGCAGATGTTTGTAATTCTCAGGAGCTCAAGGCATCTCAGTGAAATCCACCTGCTGGTTGTCTCCAGGCATTGTCCTTGGTCGCTGGACCCGTAGGGGCACTTCAGCAGTGTTCTTTGGATTTTTTTTTTTTTGCACAGGTAGAGTAGCTCTTTACCACCAGTGAAATAGTGGCATGGACCTCTGGTCCAATTAAATGTCTCTTAACCCAATCATATAGCCCATCGCATCCAAGATGGGTGGACTGGTGGGCTCTTTGTAGGATAGGGTGCATGAGTTTTGATGGAATGAAAATCTTTCCATGGGGGATGTACAGCCATCTGTCTTTGTTTAGAGTGCCCCGCCCCCCGCCCCAGGTCTTGGCAATGTTTTTATCTTGTTAGGAATAGTCCAGGTGGAAGTCAGGTGGCAGTAGCGGGGCAGTAAGCTTCTGTTAGATTGCAGGGTTTTTTTTTTTTTGCCTCTGTGTCTGCTTTGTGATTACTCTTCACCACCATGGTGTCCCTTTTCTGATGCTCTGCAGTGTACTACTGCTACTTGGGTGGGCAGCAGAATGATTTGTAAAAGTTGTAAGGTCTTTTGAGAATATTTAATATCCTTACCTTCTGCTGTTAGGAGCCCTCTTTCCTTTCAGATTGCCCCGCGTGCATGTAGTACCTCAAATATGTACTTGGAATTAGTATAAATAGTTGCTCGCTTACCTTTGGCTGTTCTAAGGGCCTACAACGTGGCTATGAGCTTGGCCTTCTGGGCAGAGGTACCTGGGGGAAGTGCATTAGCCTCTAGAACCTCTTCTAAAGTAACCACCACGTATCCAGCTTTTCTTTTTCCTCATTCCATGTAACTGCTTCCATCAGTGAACAGTTCAAGGCTGTGACTGGCAATGAGTAGTTCTTCCACGTACTGGAGGAGGACACCATTGGTTAGGGTTAGTTGTCTCAGTCCTTGGGCCAAAGCTGATCCAAAAAGAGAAGGACTGTTTTTAAAGTCCTGTGGGAGGTCTTACCAACACAACTGCTGTGTTTGTCCTGTTGTTGGGTCCTCCCACTCAAAGGCAAAGATTTCTTGACTTTTCTCCTCCACTCGGATGCAAAAGAAGACATCCTTCAGGTCTGCCACAGTGAACCTGGAGAAGGTGGGTGACAAGGTCGACAGCAGGGTATACGGGTTGGGGACTATAGGGTGGACTGTGACAGTTACCTGGTTGACAGATCACAGATCCTGAACAAACCAGAATTCTCCATTTTTCTTCTTCACTGGCAAGATGGGAGTGTTGAACTGTGATTGACACAATCTGAGCAGTCCATGTTTCAGGTATCTGGTGATGATTTTGTCCAGTGCCTGTCAGACTTCGGCTCAGATGGGATACTGCTTAAGCCTAAGGGGAACTATACCAGGTAATAAGTCAATGACAACAGGAGGAACACTTTTTGCTCTCCTTGGTATTTTGTTGGCCCACACCTATGGCACTCCTGCATCTCTGATATCTGGATCAACTAACCCTCAATAATGTTCTTTTTTTCTCATAGTTAGTTGGCCACTGAGTAGTGAGGGCCATTTGTAACTGCCACCTGTTTTTCATAAAGGAAGGAGTATGTTAAAGAGTTTTCTTGTATGGAACAAGTTAGAGGTGGTAGGAAGGGAGCGTGATCTTCTTCTCCTAATTCACAACTGACACTGTCTGCCTCATTGGGATAGCTTTTTTTTTTGGGGGGGAAGGGGTCAGAAGTGAGTGGGTCACTCCAGTGTCAGAAACGTTACAGGTTCTCTCTCCGCCTTCATTATAACTGGAGGCTCGGGTGGAGGACTTGCCTCCGGTTCCCTCGCAGTCTGACTTGTCTGTTAGTGGCAATGACTGGGCACTGGGTCACCTTTTTTTTTTAGTTCTTTTGCTCAGTATTTTGTACACTCTTACTTTCAATGTCCCTTTTTTTAATTACACCAACTGTACTGGTCTCTTCCCAAAGGACCGTAAGGCCTTCCCAGCTCCTGCGGCCTTGGTCTCCCTCCTTTTTTTGTTCTCTTGAGGGATGGCCTTCAGCCTGCAAGGCAGCAGCTAGGAAGGCTGCCTGGCACTTTTGGTCTGCAACTTTTTTTCTTTCAGTTAGAGTAAACTTGGCAGGACAGTTCGACTAGCAGAGAGATTTTTAACCCTATACCTCCTTCTTTCTGAAGCTGTCTTTTAATATTGGGGGTATTTTGGGGCGGGGCCAAGATGGCAGAGTAGTCAGACGGCTTCCTATATCCCTCTTACAACAAAGACCTGGAAAAACAAGTGATTTGATTGTATATGAATATCGAGGAGCCCTGAACAAGGCAAAGTTGAGGAATC